GAGTGAAGAATTGTTGGGAAAAAACCACTTAGATTTCAAAAACTTTAAAGTCTGTGCAATGTATAAACATGCTTTCTTTTCCAAAATAATTTGGAACGTTTTAAATCTTTTCGACTGTTCATTTGCATATTATCTGGAGAAGGCTACTTGACAACATTCACACCTAGCCAAATTTGTTCCAGTTAGACTTCATTTTAAAAGCCTGAACTTTTAGGTACTTAGTCTACTCGCATTTACCAGGAATGGTTTGACGACCTTTCAACGAAATCAGTTCCGTGGTAGTTAATGAACACGGAGTAAGGTAGTGAAGTGGTCAAATTATTTACATAAATGATTTGTTGGAATAAATAGAAAGTGAGAGGAAAACTTTAGCTGATCAACCAATCGCCGTATTCAACAGTTCGGTGCTGTAGATCCGTAGCTTTATATTATTAATTGTCAACCTTGACGATATTCGGTAGACAGCCCGAGTAGGGGGTACGTCACTTACTGTCATGTGAAAAGATTTTCACACAGTAATTTTTCGTTCATCCAGTAATTTAATAATGGAGTTTTAAAAATCGTTTTCAGTAAAATCTACAATTCAACTCTCAAACTTGCACTAATTATGAGTTTGCATGTCAGATGCTCCGTAACGCTACACTATATTTCTTAGCCGAATTCTGTCATTTCAAAACAGTTCTATTGTACGGATCCAAAAAGTGAAGAACTACCACAGTCATCAAAAATGTATGGGTATTTATAACTAATTGTCTGCACAAGATACTCCAGGTCCGTTGGCTGGACACTATTAGTAACAACCTACTATTCTAGCGGACAAACCAGCTCCTAGACGAAAAGTAGGTTAGGAAAAGACGTTGGAGGTGGATAGGACATACGATTCGCGAATAATCAAACTCTATCACGCGGAAAGCCCCAACTTAACATCCCGAAGGAAAACAGAAAAGAGGAAGATCAAGGAACACATTGGGCAGGGAATCGGAAGCAGACATCAAAAGAATGAACAACAATTGGGAACAACTGGAAGGAAGGGTGCAGGATACAGTTGGTTGGAGAATCCTGACAACTGACTGATGGTGCCACGAAGAGTAACATTATATTAAATACCGATGTGTCTGCCTTAACTTTCTTCCTCAACATTATGTTTTATAACTTATCGCTTTTTATTGCTTGCAAATGATAAATGAAGGTGGATACCGCATCTCTCTACGTCGTGTTCCCTAATACAACTTTCTGAGATTTTCTCATGAGCTCGAGTGATTCCAAGTCAATGCAACGTATCCCATATTAGTGGGATCACCTGTTTAGCCTACCGAGTATAACATTCGTGGAAGCCTAGAAGTTCCGTTAAACTAAGAACATTGAAACTCTTCACTCTATGCTTAACAATCTTATCTAAGCTTTTTGATGCACCTAGGGATAATAGAACGAATGATTATCAAAACACCTTGAGTGTGTGCTACACGAACACCCGTAGTCTTAGAAACAAAACGTCCGAGCTAAGTCTGATGGTGGATGAATTAAGTCCCGATATAATTGTTGTTACAGAAACTTTGTTCACCGCAGATAGAAAATGTTCTCCCATCACTGCAGGCTATATCTGTATAAGCAGTGGTAGAGTTTTAAGTCGCAAGAGGGGAGGTGTAATGTTATACGTTAGGGATCACTTTCGTATACAATCACTCATATCGGAGGCTCATATCAGTGGCACATGTGAGGTTGCATGTTGTAAGCTTAGATCCAGAAAATTGTCAGTGACTATAGGGGAAATATACCGTAGTCCGTGTTGTCTTGTTGACGACTTTATCTTAAGACACATCTGTTCTTGAAGTATGGCGGAATGTTGTCTCATCATTGGTGACTTCAACGCACCGCATATCAACTGGATAGAGCTTACAGCTCCAGGTGGAGGTTTTGATAGCGACCTTTAATCAACCGTTATTCGGCGTGCACTTGTACAATGTATCACAAAACCGACACATATTGACTTGGAACATGACCCGTCGCTGCTGGACCTTGTCCTCACACACCACTGTGAGGATTTCATCGGCATTTGGCACCTTGGCCCACTACAAAACAGTGATCACGTTGTACTTTGAATTTCGGACACGTGGTATACAATTTGTATCTGATCCATCCCGTCCCAATATCTAGCGAGCTAATATTCCGGAAATCAGAGACTGTGCTATCTCGATCGTTCGATGTGGATGGATCGATCGAAGACGAATGGAGTAAGTCTAAGGCTACTGACTGACTGACTGAAGGCTACACTCGAGTCCGTAACATCACCGTTTATCCCATGGTCAATACGTAAGCTATCACATTGCCCTCCATGGATTAATAAGGAAACCCGGAAGCTGTTAAAGCGTAGGAAACACTTCTGGGACTTATTCTTGTTGACAGGTCATGTATCATTTAAGCGTGAGTACCGAAAATTCCAGGATACTTGTAAGAAAACCATAGCTGAATCCCGTACTACTTACGAACGACAGTTTATATATGATAGCCGTAATTGCCCGAAACGATTGTTTTCGTATGTTAAACGGCGAATAAGACGTAGTGATGGTATTTCCCCCGTTACTGTTACACGAAAATTCAGATTAACTAGCTGAATCAGATCGGGCAAAAGCTGGGACTTTTTCAAACTATTTTAGCAAAGTCTACTCTACGCTTATTGTGACAAATACTTGTCCCACTCACACTGAGATACCAACCATTGAATCTGTATAGGTGACTGAGGAAACTGTTATTCCATTGATAACTAAATTCAAACCTGGTAAGATACCGAGCCCTGACGAGTTCCATCCACGATTGCTGTCATCTCTTGTGAACATTATTTCGAAACCGCTCGCGACACTCTTCAACATGTCCCTTTCACTCGCTCAACTCCCTAGAGATTGAAAGGACGCTATAGTCAGTCCTATATTTAAGGATGGCAAAAGACAGATAGTATCTAACTACCGGCCTGTCAGTCTAACTAGCATTGTCGTTACGTTATTTGAAAAGATAATTCGGGTTAGGTTGCTAAGCCACATAGATTCACACAGTCTGTTAGCTCCTGAGCAACATGGATTTCATAACAGGCGTTCATGCTTGACTAACTTATTGTGAGAGAGGATTGAACATCAGCCTTAGATAAAGGTCTGTCTGTCGATGTGATATTCATAGATTTTAACAAAGCATTTGACAAGGTTTCACACGTAGGTCTTATGCAGGAGCTCACGAGCTTCGGAATAATAGGTACTGTAAAGGAGTGGATAGGCATTTTCTTATGTGACCGCAGACAGAGAGTGAGGGTCAATGGGACGTTTTCCGATTGGAAGCCGGCCAAAAGTGGTGTACTCCAAGGCACCATCACAGGCCCTCTGCTCTTCCTTTTCTACGTCAGTGAGTTACAGCTGTTGCATAGGTCGTCGACATTATTGTTTAAGGATGACGTAAAAATCTGGAGAACAATATAAAGCGAGGCTGATCAGCTGGATCTTCAAGCTGACTTAGACGATTTAGTTGGATGGGCTCGAGATTGGGGCTTAGAAATCAATTCTAAGAATAGTGTGCTAATGCACATCGGTCTCGGTAATAGTTGCCATTATACTATTGATGGTAAACTTCCTCCATACGTTCAAGAGCATAAAGATTTGGGAGTAATAATAAGTCATGATTTAAAAACAACTGCGCATTGCAAAGCAGCCGCTGTCAAAGGTTTTCGTGAGTTATGGTCACTTCGCCGAGCGTCCAAATCTTTTGACGAGGAAACGTTTCGAATTTTATATCCTACCTATGTAAGACCACATTTAGAGTACTGTATCCAAGCAGCTAGCCCACGTCTGGTAAAGGATACTAACCCACTTGATCGTGTTCAGCGTGTGGGAACGAAATTAGTGAAGGGTCTTTCTAGACTCCCTTACGATGAGCGTTTGAAACGCCTAAATCTTTTCCCCTTGTCGTATCGTAGGACACGAGGTGACCTTATACTGGCATTTCGTATCTTTAATTATGATTCGGGTGTTAATATGTCTTATCTTTTTGCTCCCTCCAGCACTAATAATCTCCGAGGTCATGGCAAGAAGGTTCATAAATCGCGATCTAATAAACTTAAAATGGGGTTCCGTTTTTCTCATCGAGTAGTCAATGATTGGAACCTCTCACCCGAACAAGTGGTATCGGCCCCATCAGTGAATATTTTCAAAAAGAAACCGGACCTTCACTGAAAGGCAATCTGCCAGGATTAACACAGGTTCACCAACCTACTATCCTCATTACTGAAGACTGAGCACTTGAATTTCTGTGCTCCTGACCTAAAAAGAGGTTAGTTTAAAAGTATTTGCTGTAACAGGGTTAAATCATGTATGTTGCTGTTAATAGATTCTGTCTCTCTTTCTATTGCAGGGCAACCAAGAATAAATGCTTTGGTAGAAGAAAAGCAAGCTCTGCATGCACTGAACCTACAGGATGACTGATAAGACTGTTTTTTAGACTAGCTCTCCCTTCTGTACATAACCCGCGAATTTTCACTCCGTGTCCTCTCTCTGTGGTGTGAACTGCTTAGTTAACATTGTTTGTGTTGTGGTTTTGGGTCTTCCTACCTTTCAGTGACTGCTAATTACACGTGTTACACTACCTGGCATTTTCTGTGTTGAAGTATGGTGGTGATTATACATTTGTGCTTAGTGCATTTGTAATTAACGTAAAACCAAATTATAGATGGAAGAATTTCTAGAATTCCTATTTGGTTGTTGTATTCCCAAGTCATAACTTGAAAGTCACAGCTATATAGCTATGGCGGAAACCTAGCCAAAAATTAGACAGTTTGGTGTAAATTCTATTACATTCTCGACTCAGAGCGACAAACAATGCGAAAGTTTCTATTTCTCAAGCTGTCTGCGGTATTACTTTGGTCTAGGGTACAGAAAAAATATATAAAATATGTAAAAATGGATATTTGTTGAATTTTATCTCCCATTTGGTTTGTATTTGTGATTCGTACTTTAGCTGTAAAAATGAGCACACCTGAACCTACTATTCAGAATATTTTGGACTCAAATACTTTGCGTTGGATCTTTGTCGGAGGTAAAGGTGGAGTTGGAAAAACGACATGCAGTTGCAGCATTGCTGTTCAAATGGCCAAAGTGCGTGAGCGTGTTCTCATTTTGAGCACGGATCCTGCTCATAACCTTTCGGATGCGTTTGACCAAAAGTTTTCGAAAAATCCTACTAAAGTTAGGGTAAGTACGAAGCTTGCTTTTGATTTTTCATCGATGCAGCATTTTCTATTAGTTTATTTCCGTTTGCTTTAGCAATATAGGCGTTTTAGTACTTCAAATTTAAAATACTCGGATCAAATCAGCTTTTTCTAGTGTCTACCTGCTTAGAATATTTTATCGGAGTGCTAGGAAACAAATGTTTATATACCTGGGGTTCAGTTTATTGGTATTTTCTATACAGAGGAATACTTTTCAGGTTTGAGATTCCGATGTATGTACTAAAGACATGAGAACAATGGCCTGTGTTAGTCCTTTTTTAGCAAGCCTCGGTGAGACTAGCTTATGGACGACCTTTGTGTCACAGTAAAGTGACCCTGAGAATGTCTGCCTACTAACTAAGACTAAAGGGCGGTTATTGAGCAATGTGAGGAATTAGAATTATGATTTATGGTTGTTGGTTAAGGATTAGATTTAGGGTTTTCATCACGAACCAACATAGGCTATGATACCAAGACGCTATTTAGCCAAATGGACAAATGAACTTCGCACCAAAATCCAAGGCCTACCATTCTCCATCTGATTGGTTAGTTCATAAGTTGTAGTCTCCTCTAAGCCTCTATGAGCCTCATATCTTCTTTTGGATGGGTCGATTGAAAGTGTAGACGTCGCTTCTTGTGTTGGTAGGTCCTGAAAGTCGTTGGCTCGGTGGGAAAATCTTTTTTTCGCCGATATTTTGTCGGTTCTTTACTTCTGAATTCCCCTCCTCTGAGTTGTGCTGATTTTTTAAGAAGCAGGAGGGAGGATATTTCAGTTTCGAAATCATTTAGTAATCTATATATCAAAATCGGATCACATCTTTATGATAAGACTCAGTAAAGTGGTCTAACTACTCAAGGCACCTTGTGTAAGCCTCGGAATTCTGGAATTGTTCGTATAGCTGTCCTTTGTGATTTTTCTGAGGTATTTATTCATCTTTAAAGCATGGACTTGCAGTTTGGATCCAGTTTCCAAGTCTGGAACGTACTAAAATTGTATATATTGTAACAAACACTTTCGTATCCGATTTGGTATGTGTCTATCTTAATTCAACTAGGGTTCCAACCGCTAGGCAGTGAGATCGGGCTCACTATTACCCCTAGATCATTGTGAAACAGGACTAAAAGCATCATAACTTCTCCAATGATGTAATTATCTTCCTTTGTATATAAAATGTACATGTAGGCACACTTAGGCACATCGGTAGGCATCAACCACTATTTAAACCGGCCAACCAAAGCGTTTTTACTATTTATTTATTTGAACATAAACATTAGTACAAGTGAGCACCAAATACATATGCGTCACAATGGAAATGAGGCCAGTAGTAGTTATCATTGATTTGTATGATGGCTGGGCTACTACTCGGGTGCCCAAACCGAAGTAGGTGGTTTTCTTGGGGGTCGCACCCTTAGCCTTTAATCTAAATGTCTAATCCACAAGGTAGTGGAGCAACGTTACGGGATGCAGTCCCATGGTAGCCGGTGACCAACAATGGGTTCATACACCTTTCGTTCCCTCAGAATTCTGGAGACTATATGTACCATTGGTTTGGAACCAAGGTTTCCCAACTCCTCCAGGTAGACTCTCAGTGTCCACCAACTCATTTAAAGCTTTGGACATTCACTTTTCGTCCTTTTAATTTCGTAAACAACACCCCATCTGGGAGAAGACAGTGAGTAGGACTTAACTGACAGTGGTTGTATGCACGTCGCTATTTGAGAGCATTTCGATAGAAAGGGCTGACTCCCCACTTTCAGCCGTTTTTGGGGGCACGTTGCTCCACCACCTTGTGGATTAGACCTTTAGGTCAAAGGCTATGGGTATAGGCTCCTAAGAAAACCACCTGCTTCGGCTTGGGCACCCATGCAGTATACCTGACCTCACACAAATTGGATGATTTATGTGTCGCATATCTATTTGGTGTCTCTTTTGTGCCAATGCTTGTGTGTTCAAATGAATAAATAAATAAATTTTCAGTCCAACTTGGCAATGGATGTATGTCACTTTTAGCCTGTCACTGACTTAATTATTTTCTAGTCAAATCTTGTGGAGCCGAAATTTTAGATATTATCACTAACATAGTTCATTCACACAATTCGGTAAAACACTTTCCCCAGTAACTCAGAAAACCAAGTTTCCTTACTTTTCCATTTTTAGACGTAGAGATGTGATTCATTATGCAAACAATCACCGCAATACTTGTTACTTATTTCATCAGATGTAGCAGACCTAAAAATGAGAGTTGCAGATTGCTTCCTGTTTATACAGACATACCAGATCATTTTTTCTCCTCACGGTTTCGGTTTGATTACTTAATAGGCTGTCCCCATTGACAACTAAAGAATGTACTACTTTTGAGAAATTTTGTTCTTCGTTGTTAGAAAACAATCAAAAAGAAGTCCAGAACCTGAATTTTGGTCTTGCTCGAGCTAATCTAAAGAAAACACATACAATTCTGCAGAAGAATTCTTCTTCCTTAAGTTCGATTGTCTTTTAATGACTCAGTCCATGACGATACCGTTAAAGGATTAGGGCTGCTACTGGTTTTCTATGAGACCGGATAATGTATACGAAGTTGGTATTATGTGATAACTTGGTCAGTTGGCGCTGGCATTCATTCCATTTCCTGGCCATTTAATTTTACTGTTATTTTGTTTATCACACGTCGAACTTGATGGTGTTTATTATACAAAACGAAGTGATAAGATTGTAAATATATAGGAGTGGAAATTATATAATCAAAATAAACATCAAAACTATCGAAGGTTACGTTCTGAATAAGAACCAAGGCGAAATTTGTTTAATTTGGAGGTATATGTTTCTGCTTCGGTTTGGGCACCCGGACAGTATCACAGCCCTCACACATATCGAATCAGATTTGTGTGGCGCATATGTATTTGGTGCCTCCTTGTACCAATATCTATGTGTTAAAATAAATAAATAAATCATGAAGAACCTTAACTTCTACTTTGAGTCATTTGTGATAAGGTCCCAAACCATCTGGCGAAAGCGAGATATCCGCCTACCATAGGTAATAGCAGACAATTGTTTAGACTCGTTAAGGAAACCGGAATTAGGAACCCGACCGTTAGCGAAACAATCTCAGAGAAAGATGGACATATTATTCATTCTCAGTCCTGGAGATTGGATCGATGGGCAGAACACTTTAGGGATCAGTTCAACTGGCCTTCAGCCACACTTCGGTTTCCCACGATCTCCAGTCAACCTGAATGGCAAGTTAATGTAAGTCCTCCGTCCCTTTACGAAGTTGGAAATGCCATAGGAAATCTGAAGCAAGGGAGAGCAGCAGGCCCTGACAGGTTTACTCCTGAGATTTTTAAGGATGGTGGTCCAGTATTAGCAATGAGATTAACCGAGGTCTTAGGTAGAATTTGGGAACTAGACGTAATCCCATCTGACTGGTCTCAATCACTGATTGTGCCAGTTTTTAAGAAAGGACAAAAGTCCTCTTGTGACAATCACAGAGGAATCAGTTTGACTAATATAGTGTCTAAAATATTAGCCTCAATAATACTTTGACGCCTAACTAAAGCTCGTGAAGAGCAGACTAGAGAAAATCAGGCTGGTTTTCGACCTGGACGTGGTTGTGTAGACCAGATATTCACACTACGTCAGGTTCTAGAACACAGACACACATTCAGACGCCCCACAATGGTAGTATTTCTCGACCTTAAGGCGGCATTCGACTCTATTGATCGTGAGGTTCTATGGCAGTGTTTGTCACTGAAAGGAGTACCAAAGAAGTACATTAACCTTATAATGGCTCTCTACTCGAACACAACTGGTAGAGTGAGAGCTTATGGCGAACTGTCATCAGAATTGATCACCTCAAGTGGTGTTCGTCATGGCTGTCCACTCTCCCCATTCTTGTTCAACTTTGTCATTGACGTACATTTAGTGATAACACTCTCCTCATCTGAATTTACAGGGGTTGAACTTCTACCAGGAGGTTCACTTGTTGACTTAGAATATGCTGATGACATAGTTTTATTTGGTGAAGACGCTGACAAAATGCAGAGTTTTCTGACCACTCTAAGCAACAATGCAACCATGTTCGGGATGCGATTCTCTCCCTCGAAATGCAAAATGTTGCTTCAGGATTGGGTTACATCGACACCCGAACTAGTGATAGGGAGTGAAGTCTCATCAGCCCTTGTGGTTTAGTGTGTGACGAAATCTCAGCACGGATACAGAAGGCTCGACTAGCTTTTGCCAACTTGAATAATTTATCGCGTAGGCGAGATATCCGTCTATCAACCAAAGGACGGGTTTACTGCGCAGCAGTTCGTTCCGTCCTACTTTATGGCAGTGAAACATGGCCGGTAAGAGTAGAGGATATCCGTAGGTTACTAGTATTTGATCAAAGGTGTCTTCGAAACATTGCTCGTATATCATGGGACCATCGAGTAAGTAACACAGTTGTTAGGAAACGGGTACTAGGTAAGGATGGCAAATCAATTGATGAAGTAGTGAAACTTCATCAGTTGAGATGGCTGGGACACGTGTTACGTATGCCCAACGACCGACTGCCTCGACGTGCTATGTTCAGTGGTATAGGAGTAGGTTGGAAGAAAGCTAGGGGCGGTCAGACCAAAACATGGCACAAGTCCATGAAGTCACTGACAAGTGGACTGAGTCATGTTGGTAGGTGTAGACTACCTGGTTGGGGACCGCGAGATGACAGCAACCGATGGTTAGAGACCTTGAATGACGTGGCTCAAAATCGTTTGCAATGGCGCAGGTGCATCCACTCTCTGTGTTCTCCCAAATTCTAATCTTCTGAATTCTTCATGTCCCTTTTTTCCTCTTTCCAAATTTCTTTCACTGGATTATACTCTCTAAATAACATCTCCAAACCCTAATCTTCTCGATTACTGCTTATACTTTTACTGTCTCTACCACTACGGGATTTGAATCGACAACCGCATCTCTGTGCTAATGTGGTGTGGCAACTCGAACTGATGTACGTACGTACGAAGTTGTACGTTGTTACTGACTGACTGACTGACCAATAAAACGACAAGTATACTGCGCAGTAGTTCATTCTGTTTTACTTTGCGGCAGCGAAACATGGCCTTTAAGAGTAGAAGATACTCGTAGGCTACTAGTATTTAATCATATATGTCTTGGAAATATTGCCCGCATCTGCTGGGGTCACCGGGTAAGTAATAGTGAGGTTAGACGCAGGGTATTAGGGAATGGTAGTAAATCAGTTGATGAGGTTTGTTGATCTTCATCGACTGAGATGGTTGGGCCACGTGTTATGTATACCTGAACACCGATTACCACGTCGTGCAATGCTAACAGGTGTTAGAGATGGTTGGAAGGGAATTAGGGGCGGTCAAACCAAAACCTGGCATCAGTGCTTGAAGTCACTAACTTGTAGTCTGAGCCATGTTGGTAGATGCAGAATACTTGGTTGGGGTCCGCGTGACTATCGTAACCAATGGTTGGAGACTCTTGGTGACATGGCTCAGAATCGATCACAATGGTGTCGGTGTATACACTCCCTGTCTTCCCTTAAACTAAGAGATTAAAATCGCTTCATATCTTTCTTTCTACTAACTAATTCTTTCTTCTTGTACTGTATCCTTATATGCAATCTTTCTTCTACATATTAGCACCTTTGACCTAACCACTCCTATGAATCCGGTGTTCATCTTGCTGTGCTAATGCGGTATGGCAACCTGGACCGATGCATATATGTGCCTGGTCCTACGTTGTAGCTGACTGACTGAAAAAGGACAACATGAGAAACATGCTCTCAAATTTGAACGTCATTTAGTTAGATCTGTATTTAAGTAACTAATTTGTCAAGCAGAAATTTTTCCATTTATCTTCAGGTCAAAATACTTGTGCATTGGCTATAAATACTATCTAGCTGTCTAAATCAAGATAAGAGGAATAGGACTCGAACTCGCGATCTATTATTTAGAACAGCAATCTCCTAATTACCAGGCCATCACTCATTTTGACGATGGATTCAGTTACGGATTGATATTAGTTCAAAAATGATTCCACACGAGACCATTCTACAGTTATCACTTTTTGGAAGTCCTCATCTATGGCATCTAGTATTTATTACTTCACTAGATGATATCAGTTCCTGTCAAAACTTTTCTGAAACCTGGATAATAATGATAATAGTAGTAACTTTATTCAATATTGCATGTTCAATACCAAATAAGATTCTCAACAAACCCTAAAAATCACCTAATTACTCATTAGCGATTAGCTTCAGATATTTTCTGAAGTTTCACTGATAATCCGTGACCTCAGTATCAACCATCTAGGCAGTAAGGAAGTTATCCCCTCACCACATTAGATAATGATCCCACTGGAACATAAAAACCATTGGATACTGACACAGTTGCTGAGTGCGTTTGTCAGGAAACCTGGAGGCCCTACACTTAATATAGTCTGGTAGTTTGTGTGCACTAACGATAAAGTAACAGCTATCGCGTGCTTCTATTTCGAATGATTATCCAGATGATGTCAGTCCATAATGAATATTACATTTGGTCTAATAAATCTTTAAGTCGGTAACGTTTGAAGTAAATTTATTATCCATGACCAAATCAATAATTAAATTTGTAAACTACAAAACTTGAAATATAACTTGTATACACCGACGCCATTGTGATCGATTCTGAGCCATGTCACCAAGAGTCTCCAACCATTGGTTACGATAGTCACGCGGACCCCAACCAAGTATTCTGCATCTACCAACATGGCTCAGACTACAAGTTAGTGACTTCAAGCACTGATGCCAGGTTTTGGTTTGGCCGCCCCTAATTCCCTTCCAACCATCTCTAACACCTGTTAGCATTGCACGACGTGGTAATCGGTGTTCAGGTATACATAACACGTGGCCCAACCATCTCAGTCGATGAAGATCAACAAACCTCATCAACTGATTTACTACCATTCCCTAATACCCTGCGTCTAACCTCACTATTACTTACCCGGTGATCCCAACAGACGCCAGCAATATTTCTAAGGCATCTGTGGTCAAATACTAGTAGCTTACGGGTGTCTTCTACTCTTAAAGGCCATGTTTCGCTGCCGCAAAGTAAAACAGAATGAACTACTGCGCAGTATACTCGTCCTTTTATTGATAGATGGATATCTCGCCTTCGCCAAAGGTGACGTAAGTTGGCAAAACCCTTTTTAAACTTCAGGAATACTTTTCGTCAATTCTAACTGTCCAGGATGTACTCTTTTCTGGTTTTAGGGTTTTAATAATCTTTTTGCTATGGAAATTGATCCAAATGTGAACTTAGGAGAGTTCGAAGAGGATCTGGTTGGTTCAGAAGAAGCAGCAGTTTCCGCTGATATACGTAAAACCATCGGTCACTTGATGACTTCTTTCCCTGGAGTGGATGAGTATATGTCTTATACAGAGGTGTTTCGGTTGGTCCGCAATATGGATTATTCAGTCGTCATTTTTGATACTGCTCCTACTGGCCACACACTACGATTGTTAGCGTTTCCAGAGGCTATGGAGAAAAGCCTTAGCAAGGTAGTCTCAATGAAAAATCAGGTAAGTAGCAATTGTTCCAATCTGGTCAACTTTCTGGAAAATCATTTTTTACTAGTTAAATGTTTACTAACGTAATTTAATATGTGTACCATAGCTACAAGTAAATACTACTTGTTTTCATTAGTTACTACATGGGGAATTTATTTACCAAGACTAGTGTATCTTCCCATACAGACTTGTAAATAACCATGTATTACTCCAAATTTAATTCTTTCAACTTATTATTGAGCCCACCATGAGTTAAATGTAAATTGTTTTAGAAAATCAAATGTATTAGTCGTCCAATATCTTGAAAACACTTTCTATTTGTTGAAACACCACTCTGGGAGTATTATTTAGGCTGGGAAGTGAATTTCTTACTGATCGAATCACGTAGTAGGTTGGTGTTACTTCATCAAGTGGAACAGATGACAAACCTCTTATTTAAATTACGAATATTAAGTGTGAATAACAGTTGCATTCGTCTAATCTCGCTGCATCGCTTAACAAATTATTACTATCTGTTTCTTGCTTCTCGTTATGTTTCTTTTTCCTTAGCAGTAGTTTGGGACCAACCGAATTAGTGCAATTCGTGTAGTTAGCATGTCATCGTATAATACTGCTGTATCAACCACATGGAAAGTTTCTTGAATAGAGAAGTTCTCGGACCAGTATTTGTGTATCACGGAAAAATCTAAATATTTTACGTGCATTAAAAAGTTATTTCGGTTGCTTAAATAATTTTACACTTGTCTCGCATACTTTTTTTGCGTGAATTATGATATCTTCCGTCCTTCTTCGTGAACCGCATTTCCATACTTGTTTTTAAAATGTTTAAGAATGAGTAAAGGTAATTACCAACTGGTCCTACGTAATACATGGTGGAATCATACAAATTTACTTAAACTTATTCATTTGCCGTACCTAGTGTTGTTTGATCTTTTGGACGTGAACGATAGTCGAAATGCGTCGTTTACCAAATAACTTGCCTCACCATTACATTCAGCCATATATTATTGCTATAAAGTTCAACTGAGCCCACAGTTACGCATTGTGCAAAATCTTTAATAAGTGTCTAGATGCTTCACTAACTCAACCAGTTGTTAAAGGTGGATAATGCCAAGTGAATTCTTGTCATCTTCGACTCAAGTTAGTTCGTAAAGGCCATCGAAATAAAAAATTATTCCAAATTATTTGTTCGACATCTTGATGCGTGGGCGAGAATGATCATGATTGGTTGTCTGCTTAGTCGGACATGTAGATAGTCTGACAGGTGTCAGATAAGTTATATATTCCCCTTTCCTTATTAATATTATGACTCACTCATTGTTGATTGTTCATTGTCGTTGAATTGTGTCGGGTTTTGGTGTGGAAATACATTACGTTGTGGTCAGGCTAATCACGTGTTCTTGATCTGAGTTGTGCTGACGTCCTGTATAATAGACACTGGGAGGGAATGTAGCGTAGATATTCGTTTAAGGTAGATTAACGTCCTAGACCTGTAAACGTGGGAACCCATCCGTTATAGCATTAGATGAAGTAAAACCGAGGGTTATACCACATTCCAGTCTTAGTAAACATTCTTCATAATTCGTGAGTATTGAAGCCGATTTTCATATTATGAATGTAATATTTTTGTATAAAACACGTAGTACTCTGTTCAAAAATGCTATATGCTATGGGTGTATATTATGGGGTTTTGCATGTAATCACAAAATAAATGCATATAATTTCTCTTTTTATCTTGTGTTTCCGTCTACTCACTATTATTCCAAGTTAAAATTGAAGTTGACTATTTCGAATATTTTGTTCCTGTGTTTTCAATAATTCGTAGTTCGCTCCAATTTTAAACCAATTAATGGGTTTAGTCGGAATGAACAGTACACAAGGTGGTGATTTAACAAATGCAATAGAAACACGTTTACCTATCGTTAAAGAAATAACAAAGCAGTTTAAAGATTCCACTCAGACTACATTTGTATGTGTTTGCATACCCGAATTCTTAAGCATGTACGAAACGGAACGCTTAGTTCAAGTGAGTTATATATTCTATTTCGGCAGTTTTATCGTCATTTTTAAGTAATTATGTGATTTACTACTATGGCCTCATGACACATTAGATATTACAGAAGGAGAATTTACTCGCTTTTGTATTTTTGCTATATATATATATATATATATATATATATATATATATATATAATCGATAAGGGAAATTAGTGTAAGGGGTAGAAGTTAAATTAGCCACTAAGTTCTTGCGAATTAACTACTATATACCTCAGCATGCCATTCTAATAACACTAACAAGTAGCTTAGTGGTAGAAATGGAGGTAAGGCTCGCGCATCTATCATGATTCACAGCTAAGCTCTCGAAGGGCCAGATTGTTGGTCTTAAAGCACACTCTCACAACTGCACTAGTTTCATTGTTTTTCTTTCACATTCATGTATTGATATGTCTGGTAATTAAATATGAAATAATTCAAACTCTTTGATTAGCACATAAACTTAATTCTTGTACTCAGAAAAGAGTTAATTCAAATTGTCACATCTCTGGCTCCATTAAATTATTAAGTAAGCAATTAAAACCATTCTTATGTGAGAGGGAGCAATTAAAATCTTTAAAATATAGTAAGACCTATAAATAAATTTAAAATGGATTAGGCAATTTACGGTAATCTGTTCACAATCATGGAAAACAGTTTCGATGTAAATCGGTGTGAATATTTTTTCTATTTTCCCTGACTGAGGACAAAGGCTTCGTAAGTTATTCGTTAAGCATTCTGTTTCTTTTTAAATTTCTAAAAATCCTTACTATTTCATGTCCGTTGCACCCCTGGGTTGTCAATGTCTAGAAGTTTAAACAGCCTTTTATTTATAAACAATCAGTGTCTATGAAGTTTCAATATTCAGATATAAATAAATCAACACATCGTAACATGTTTAGTGTTCTGATTAATCTCTATATTAATAATGCAATAATTGGTGAAAGCGAGGACGAAAATCTTAACAAACAATAACTTCTATTTAAATACCAATACTATAAACAGAATTCAATACACATACGTGATCGAGGTGATTAGTACAAAAACTGGAACAAATTTTCACCAGCGACAAATAATACCAAACACAGTAGCTAACCTTAGAACCCTTAGGCTACAGAATTTCGAATTATAACACTTCTATCACTACTTTAATGTTCGTTTGCTTTCTCTTCTTTTGTTTAGCCTGTTTTTTTGTATGTTGCTTTATACTACTTGATAATATTCAGTAAACAGTTTCATTTCTAATTATTTCTAAGCGTACGATGTAACACAAGTTTATTTGTTGCGTAATATCCTAAAGTATTTATATAAACTAATAATATTTAGTGTATTTACAATTATAATTACCTTCTACTAACCCTTGCAACAGTTATCTCCAGTTTTTTCACACTTTAAATCTTTTTTTAAACTCAACAGTTTCCACATTTGAGTGTTCTTAGTCTCCCCATTTTGGTTGTTTTTTAAATGTTGTTAACACTAGATACAATTATCAGCTGTCATTTACGTTGTCGTATGTTGTAATTACTCTTTATGTTACTATAACAGGGATCCCTTCCCTTTCCAGATATACAGATGAGTTAGTCACTACAGATACCACACAAGTTGATGTCGGTAACCAATTTATGTTTGTTCTTCAATAACCGAATCGTTCTTTAGACAAATAGTTTATTTCTTTAATTTTCGGTTTCACGTGGATCTCAATCGTGTAGTTGGACGTTTCAATAAGATTAACAACCAACAACTAGTTTTTATCGAAAATGTCACTTTATATTTGCATTTTTAGTAACTTAGGAATTCAGTGAAATGTGATTGAATGATATATGACGATTGGTTCGACAACATAATGGATTGTTGTTTATCATTATTCCCATCTTGTAGCAGCTTGACCTAAAATCTAGTGTTAAGCAATTTCCACCTCACTGGTCTAGAACTTTGGTTTCTAATTCAGCTATTTCTTATCATATAATTTACTAGCAACGAAGTTGTTCATCAGTAAATGTAAACACTTATCAGCAAAGTATGGTTGAGATTATTATAATCCAGATAGAATTATAAAATTACCGGCATCGATTCTCTTGATTTGTTTCTTTTGAAAATGCACCACTCAGTTGGATCACTCATTTATCATTCTTTTATTGAAGTACTAGTACGTTAGTGAACAGCTTATAAATACAGCTATTGTTTAATCAAACCAGTAGCTTGTGCTGCTAAATGTTAGATTTGATTTAAACTGAGGTGTATTATGCTGCTAGGATGTCCATCCAAATCGTAGCACTCCGAAATATGTGTGCTTCTTGACAGATAAGATCTATACCATCTTTTCCACACGACTTTTGTCAACTGAGTGATACCCAATTTTGATATGCTGAGTAGGGACGTACTTGTTCCAATAATCAAAGCTCTGTAAAATTGTCAACACATTTTTCTAACTTTCAGTGTCCAAAACTGTGTATGTCTCGATAGTGACTGATGGTTTCAAATAAAAATTTGCATCCAAATAATAATTCATTTTCATGATTGATTTTGTGTTCATTTTTCCTTTCGGTATACGAATTCACTATTTTTTCAAACTTATACTCAATACTTACTTACGCCTATTACCCTTCATGGCACCATAAGTCGCCTGTCAGGATTCTCCAAACAACTGTATTCTGGGCTCTTCCTTCCAGTTGTTTCCAATTGTTGTACATTCTTTTGATTTCTGCTTTCGATTCCCTGCCCAGTGTGTTGATTGAACGTCCTCTCTTCTGTTTCCCTTCAAGGTGTTAAATTAAGGCTTTCCTCGTGATACTTACTTACGCCTATTACTCCCAACGGGGCATAGGCCATCGACCAGCATTCTCAACCCACTCTGTCCTGAGCCTTCCTTTCCAGTCCTCTCCAATTTTTGTCCATTTTTCCCATGTCTGTCTCCGTTTCTCGACGTCATGTGTTCTTTGATCTTCCTCTCCTCCTTTGGCCTTGAGGATTCCAAGTGAGGGCTTGCGTTGTGACGCAGTTGGTTGCTTTCCTCAATGTGTGTCCTATCCACTTCCAGCGCTTCTTCTTCCACTGGAATCTGGTTTGTCCTCTCCCATAGTAGTTTGTTGCTGATAGTGTCTGGCCAACGGATTCGAAGTATTTTGCGTAGACAGCTGTTAATAAACACTTGTATCTTCTGAATGATGGCTTTAGCAGTTCTCCAGGTTACCGCGCCATACAGTAGAACTGTCTTGACAGTTGTATTGAAAATCCTGACTTTGGTGTTGGTTGACAGTTGTTTTGAGTTCTAGATGCTCTTTAGTTGTAAATATGCTATTCTTGCTTTGCCAGTCTGCGCCTTCACATCTGCATCAGATCCACCATGTTCATCAGTGATGCTGCCCAGATATGTAAAGGTTTTTACATCTTCCAAATCTTCTCCGTCAAGTATTATTTGATTGGTGCATGTTATATCGTATCGGAGAATCTTGCTTTCCCCCTCCTGTATGTTGAAACCTAATGCTGTTGAGGCTGTTGATACACTGGTCGTCTTCTGCAATTGTTGTTGCGTGTGCGATAGAAGAGCCATATCATCTGCGAAGTCTACATTGTCCAACTGCATCCTAGACGTCAACTGTATCCCATGCTTCCCCCGAGATGTTTTCGTCTTCATGATTCAGTCGATCACCAGGAGAAAGAGAAAGGGTGGGAGTAAGCAACCTTGCCTGACACCGGTCTTTACTTCGAACGAGTCTGTCAGCTGTTTTCCATGCACGATTTTGCAGTTTGATCCATCATGGGAATTCCGTATGGTGTTGATTATATTCTAAAGCACTCCGTATTGTTGAAGAAAACTCCTTAGTGTTGTTCTGCCCATACTGTCAAATGCTTTTTCGTAGTCAATGATGTTGATGTAGTGTGATGAATTCCATTCAATTGATTGTTCCACAATGATCCGTAGTGTTGTAGATTGGTCGGTACCTGATCGATCCTTGCGAATCGAGTCTGTTGATCTCAAAGTTTGGCGCCTACAGAGTCTTTCATTTTTTAACAATACCCTATTAAAGACTTTTCTCGGTATTAAGAGAAGAGTGATGCCTCTGTAGTTGCTGAGATCGCCTTTCTTCGGTATTTTGACCAGAAGTCCTTCTTACAGACTGTTGGTACTTGTTCCTCATCCCAAATCGTATTGAAGAGGATGTGGAGTATCCTTGCAGTTGCCGCTACATCTGCTTCCAGTGCCTCTGATGGGATGTTGTATGGTCTTGGTGCTTTGACACTCTTGATTTGTCTGATGGCCATGCTGATTTCTTCAATTGTTGGTGGACTAACATCGATCAGGAGGTCCGTGAGTGCTTCTTCGATGTTGGGTGGGTTCAGTGGGGCTGGTCGATTCAAGAGTTCTTTGAAGTGTTCTACCCACCTGTTTCGTTGTTCATCAATGTTGGTGATTACCTCACCTTCCTTGCTTTTCACTGGTCGTTCTGGTTTGCGGCGATTTCCAGAGAGTTTCTTTGTTATGTCATACAGTTGTCTCATGTTTCCTTCTCTTGTAGCCTTTTCCGCCGTCGTTGCTAAATCTTCCACATATTTACGTTTCTCAGTTTTGATGTTGCTCTTCACTTGTTTGTTTACTTCTGTGTATTCAGCTTGTGCCTTGGCTTTTTCTGCTCTTGTTCGACTCGTATTCATTGCTGCCTTCTTGTTCCTCCTTTCTTGAATCTTATCCAGTGTATCAACAGTGATCCATTTCTTGTGGTGGTGCTTCTTGTGGCCCAGAACCTCATGACATGTTGAAGTGATCGCCTCTTTTATCCTTCTCCAGTTGCTCTCCATAGTACTTCCCCTCCATTAAGTGAATCGTGAAAGGCATGGAACCTATTACTGAGGACTATCTTGAATTTGTTGAGTTTGTCAGTATCCCGAAGAAAAGCCGTAGTAAACTTTTGTAATGTTGTCCGCCTCGTTGTTCGGTGGTTCTTGAGTTTCAACATTATCTTGGTGACCAGCAAGTGATGATCTGATGCTATATCAGCTCCTCTCTTGGTTCTCGTATCCTCCATCGTCCTCCTAAGCTTTTTGTTGATGTAGATATGGTCGATTTGGTTTTGTGTAGAGTGATCCGGCGAAGTCCATGTGGTTTTTTGTATGCGTTTGTGTGGGAATATGGTGCCACCTATAACCAGTTTATTGAAGGCACATTGGTTTGCAAATCTCTCACCATTTTCGTTCTTTCCTCCTAGTTCATGTCGTCCCATGATGTCTTCATATCCGGTGTTTTCCATTCCAAACTTGGCATTTAGGTCTCCCATGATAATGATCAAGTCCCTTGTTGGGCACTTCTCGACAACTGACTGCAGCCTATCGTAGTAGCAATAGCCTCAGAGGGCCTCCTGACGGATTTTTCCTCGTGATGGAGTGTAGTTATTCCCAAATTGTATGTCCTATCCACCTCCAACGTCTTTTCTTAACCTACTTTTCATCTGAGAGCTTGTTTGTCCGCTAGAATAGTTAGTTGTTGCTAATAATATCCAGCCAATTTACCTGGAGTATCTGGTGTAGACATTTAGTTATAAATACCTGTACATTTTTTATGACTGTGGTAGTTCTTCACTTTCGGCTTCATACAATAGAACTGTCTTGACGTTTATATTGAACGTTCTGACTTTGATGGAGGCTGAGGAAATTCCACCTTTGCTTTACCAATCTTTGTGTTTACGTCTGCATCAGATCCTCCTTCTTCATCGATGATGCTTCCCAGTTACGTAAAACTTCCGACGTGTTCCAGGATTTCTCCATCAAGTGTGTTTTTCAGAACCTTGCTTTTTTCACCGGGCATGTTCAAGCCTACTCTTACAGTTGCTGCTGCTTTGTTGATTGTCATCACCTTCATTTGTTGCTGTGTATGGGATAGGGGGCCTAGAATATCTGCGAATTCCAAATCGTCTAGTTGCGTGCAAGCTGTCTGTTTTATTACGTGCTTCTCCACTGCTATCATTGGTGGTTGTATCGCACTAGATAATATTCATTATCATCCGTTCCTTTGTTTAGAATGCTTTGATTTTTCTAGTCCCATAGAACTCCCATTTCATATGTGCTTTTCATACTGCTTTGGCGTTTCCTTCAGACAACCAGCATAACAGCGATGCTGCCTTCCTACATGGAATTGTGAGGTTGGAAAAGGTTGACCCTAAAAATACACACTTCACCTTATCCCACAGAATTCTGTCTCCGGTGACAAAGTTCCAATAGCACGAAAATTACTCACAAGAATATCGTTTGCGACCGACCTCAAGCAGTTGTCCTTTGGGCACTGGGTTCACGCTCTTAGGTCACTAACATCACTCCTAATCCAATTTCCTTTTCAGGTACCTCTAGAATAACCTGTCCACGGTGTGGGAAATCAGGAATTGATAACTGTTCTCATGCCTCCAACAGCACTCAAGATCGCTGTATTCAAATCAATCTTCCTCTTCAATTCCATTATTCCTCCTACATCGACTTTCAACTCTAAACTTCCTTCCTCCTCAAATGTCGCTATGGCCAACGATTCTAGTGTACAAAACACTCTCAGGTTTACTGAAACCTCTTTCCAAACTACACATTGAAGCCTTCAACGTACGCCCACTATGTCAAATCGGTCAGTAGACCTCCTTGGCTAAAACCTTAGAATCTCGTACCACTGATGAATGCTGTGTCTCCGAAGCACGCATAAGGATCCTAGTGTGCTCATTTGCTTTACCTCACCTTGCCAAAACGAAGAGTTGACGAGATACACCATCCGTTTTTCTGGCGACCCAACGGCAAATTATCATGGATTGGCAGATGTAGGCATAGCATTGAGTACGAAGTCACAACAAGCACTAGAATGAATTCCCATTAACAGTCGCCTAACAGTGTAATTTGTTCACTCTACTCTTTGTTGGTCTGAGATACTTGTGATGTATTTTTTGTCCATAATTTCAAATATCCATTTTCAATCTTCACTTCTCATTTATAGATATCAACGCCAAGTTTGAGCTTGAGTTTCAAATAAATTGGGCATCAAGTAGAAAGTTGATAATAAATTTATTTTTTGTTATATCGCAATGAGTAGAAAAATTGTATTTTTGACGTTTTGTGACTTAACCCAAGCCACTTCTTCAAAGTAACTAAATAACCGAATTTACTTCTCATCGTTTTGTATTGCGTCCGCGTCGCTTATTACTTACACTTAAAACGGGGAATCACTACTATTCCCACGACGCGAAGTTAAAACTTGGAAGATTAGTGTAAGTGAAGATTTACCGACTGCAAAATAAATTCGATGACCGTAGTCGGAAATTCATTGATTTGTACACCTATTTAATTAGTTATTAAGGAAATGTCACATAAATGAAATTATAAAGAAATCACATGCTGCGCATCATGCTAAGCATAGTTCGCCTTAATTCATATCTCAAGAATATCAAATCTTTATGCATCTCACTGAAATAAATCAATGTTGTACTGAATAAACTATCACACTGAAAGCAAAACAAATATTATACTGAATAATCATATTGAATTTAAAACCGAAGTAATGTTGAGCAAGAATCATGACGTGCTAGGAATGTAATCCTTTCATTCCGTTTTTCACACAAGCGTATCATCCAGATATTTGCCAATTCTTCACCTTTCATTTTATTGTTTTGTTGCATAGAATTTGTGACAATTTTATCTAATTTTATTTCTAAATATATAGGAACTCACTGCACACGATATTGATGTCCACAATGTCATTGTAAATCAACTATTGTTCCCAAATTTATTATCATCATGTGATGTCTCATCTAAGGATCATTCGAATCAACCTCCATCTAATTGTCGAATGTGCTTAGCACGTCATCGAATACAATCGAAATATCTGGAACAAATTTTAGAACTATATGAAGACATGCATGTCATACAATTACCTCAATTAGAAAATGAGGTAAGAGGAATCAAGTCTGTTCAAGAATTCTCCGAACTTCTTTTAAACCCTTACCGTAGGAAATAAAAATTATAGGATTTGCACGTTATTTGTAAAAATGATGTCGTTTGTACACTTTTGTAATTTATCTTTCCTTTGAAAAAATATTAAACGTTTTTTTCTAAAGAACTGGTTCGAAAATAACATGCATGTTAACAGTTGTTTTTTATTTCTTTAGCACTAAAAGCATCCTTAGTAAATTTTTAATTTGAGTTGATTTTTAATTTGTTTATGTAATTGGTTCCAAAAATCCGTTCACTAATATAATTGACACATTTTCAACAGAGATTATTATAATGCATAGGCGGCTGAAAAGGGATTTTGATTTTTTATTTGGAAGTTTCTGTGTCTGTTGCGTGTGTAAGATATTTGGATATTCATTTTGATTGGTGCATTTTTGGATAATGTAATTACATATTAAGTAATTGTACTTTCAGGATTCTAATCAACTCAGAAAACGTACTGAAAGTCTTATATTTAGTTCCTATTTAAACAACTAGTTATATTCACTGTTTTTTACGCTGTTTTAAATGTACGTCACGCGATGCCTTAGAAGTTGCAACTAATTTAAACAAAACGTAAATCTTTCGGAGAAAATTTCGAAACGCACGACCAGAATCGTTATAAGGATTTATGATCTCAGACGGCTAGAGTTATTCGTGTTTAGCTACAAAGAGATGTGACATTACAATCTTCATACTATCTACCAACCACTCAGAATGGATTCTACTTCTTGTTGGAAATAAGTACTGTACGTAACAATCTCCAAAGCAACATAAACACAGTCTCACCAGTAGATTAGTTCAAGCTCAAGTTAGGTGTGTCGTATTCAAACGAATTTGTAAATGGTCTACTACTACGCACAATGTGGCTACTAGCAGTGACACGAGTATAATCAGCCAATCCACCGAGCTTGAACTGACGATATTTCTGCTTTTGTCAACTACCTATTTTTAGCCCTGAGGTAGGAATTATGTAAACCTTCAGCTGCCAAGCATTTTCAAACAGCCTGAGCGGAACATTGAATAAAGCCTTCCGACTTTCATTGGAATTAAAAGAACTATTGCTGACCTGAAACGCAGAAGAGCAGCTGGTCCACATGGAGTGACTCCAGAGGTTTTTAAGAATGGTGGTCTAGTTTTAGCGATCATATTAACTAATATTTTAGCTTAAATCTGGTAGTTCATCTCGTTGTGCTAATGATAAGTCTTGCGGATTATGAACGCTATAATTGTCTCCTAAGCTATTCTGTAACCCCCAAGCTAGAACTATACAGCGACCTGAACACGAGAGAGAAGACTCAAAGTATGTGAGAAGTAGTTTACTCCAAGATTCATTCTATCACAAAATATAGGGTTTTTATAATATTTTAAATGTCCTAGGGTGGCTGGAATATTCTCGAGTGCTACTAAACATAGTAGCAGTGTAGTAGCCAACCAATTAGAGCTTCCGCATGTGACGTTTCGCTACCTTGATATTTCTGGCCAAGACTCCAAGTGAACGCTGATTGGGCGAAACGCTTCTTAGTATTTCTTGATACTTGCTTGTGTTTTGTAAGCAATTTCTGGATCACCCTAACACCCCTCTTTCAAAAAATAAAACTTCGAGTCTATTTGCAGTTTTATAACTGGTTTCCTGCGGCGTCCGGATTTTCTGGGTATCCGGCGTCTATGAGTATCTGTTGGCGTTCCTGTCATTGGAGTATCTAATTATATCCAGCGGAAGCCTCAGTTGATTATCTACCCTGTCTAGAGTCATTTTCTCTCTGTGTATTTGATAGTGTCTAATCCACATTCCGAAAGCCCCACGCACTTTGTATAAAACTCCCTATTCTCTTCTCAATGACTCCCGGTTCTCAACGATTTTTCCCAATGTATGATTTGACGAGCACTTTATCACCGACGTTAAGACTACGAATATTCTGATTTTGTGTGCGTCCATCCATTAGTTTAGGTGGTAACATGACATCGAATATGGTTCGGATGCTTCTCCCGAACATCGCTTCAGCAGGGGACTTCCCATTCGGGACAATAGTGTCCCCTCCTTCCCCTTTCAGTAGTGCTCTTTTGAATGTGTCCACTGAGTTCTTCTCATCAACTTCCGATGTACTGACATTGTTGCAGATTGAGTTCATGGGGCGATCTGTTAACTTCAACCTTTCTATCCAATCAAGCCCCAATAAATCGAGTGATGGACTGTCTGTCAGAAATATTACACCCTTCTCCGTGGACTCTTTGTCTGTGACTTCACAATGAATCTCGCCCGCAATGTTTAGAATTCCCCCGGATGCACTATGTGCTAATTGATGAGTTTAATATATTTTCGGTTTCCCAATTTTCTCCCACGTTCTCCTGCTTATAAGCGTTATATCAGAGGATGTATCTAACTGTAAGCGGGCATCATACCCATTAATCTTGCGAGAAACATACTTTCTGCGGTTATGGGAGCCAGCTTTGTGATGAGCTACCGTTACTTCAGCTGTTTGTGGTTTGAATCTCTTAGAATACTCTTTCGATTGGCGGCGTTTTCGAGTTTTGCAATGACTTTCTTTGTCTTTTTCTGGAACACAGTACAACGATGATTCTTAAACGGACAAAACCTTTAGAAGTGCCAACCGCCACATAACCAGCATGGGGATGATGGTTTTTTGCTGTCATTACGATAATTCTGAGTGCTGGAACCTTGTGAGATTTTTCTCTCGACTGCATTGACATGAAGGAACCGGTCGCCGTTCTCTACCATCGAGGCATCATGCTTCAGATCCACTAACCTTTGGCATTCGGTAGCTACTTCCTGCAGCGTCATGTTGGGGCAGTGTTCTAGCTTGCTTAGGATTCTCGTTCGGATGTCGGCATCCTCGAGTGAACTCAGGCTACAGTTAAACACTAGGCATTTAAATTGGTCTTCAGTCATGGAGGACAAATTGAACCTCTCACATTCTCGATTCACAATTCCTGCATGCTTCACCCAGTCATCTCCTGGTTCTTTCGTTATTTTCAAGCATTGATAACAGATATTAAATAGAGATGATTGTTCTCCAAAGATTTGAGACGGGGTTTTAACTGTTTCATCAAATCTAAAGTCTCGTGCATTTTTTGGGAGAATGAAGTTGCTATAGCGTTCGTGTTCACAAGAACTATTCTGACTTGAAGCGTCATCCAGTTTGAAAAGATCAATATAAAACAAATCTGACGCGCGCGATAAATTCAATCCACCCATGTCTGTAGGGCAGAACATTTTGTTTAATTACGGCTCCTTATGGTTTAGTGGGATGTCACGGTATTGAAGCTGATTTATCACGCAAAATACCTCTTTAAATCGTGTTACGAACGTTGAATTGGTTTCACTTCCTACCCAGAAATCCTATTGCAAGCAAACTAGACAATTCGCTAATATACGAAGCCTACTCAAGACCCTATAATACCTGAAAAAAAATAATAATACAAAAAAACGAAAGGGGCTCTAATAGCTTCGATAATAAAAGGAAGATAGCCAATTGTGTATCACAATACTGTTTCTAGCACTATCTTTTATTTTATAACCACACATAATCCCATACTCTCAGCTCCTTTCCGAATCGCCTGCATTTGTCAGTTGTATGTGCACTCACACCTTGTTAACACTTACTTTATTTTTCCTATTAAAATGCTCTTTCTTAACAAACACCTTAATAAAAGAAAATTAGACTGAGTAATCATGCCTTAAACATTCCTTCATGAATATTGGCTACTCTGCCTCTCGTCCTTTCTTTTACTTGCTCCCTCTTTCAGCCCCCTTGGGATATGGAACGGGTGACTTCATCCTGCACCATCTTCAAAGCCTTAGACATTCCAAAGGGACATAAGGTTGCGACACTTAGAAGCTCCCACCTTCAATGGACCTATCCTTGACCATCAGTCGCACATTCGCAACGCAACTTTCATGAAGCGCGCCAACTGTGGTACTGATTAAAACCATCCTACATTCATATCTTATAAATTATCAACCCAGCTATGCAATTTACTACAGTGTATATTGTGTCATTTGTATCAATTTGATCTTGTCTGTAAACTGGCATGCCTCATGTAACAAACTGTTATTTGAGAATAAATTATTATTATTATTATTTAAAAAGGACAGTGGTATTTTTTCTCACTGAGTAAATTTCATTGTTTTGATCGTTTATTACGTATCAAGACTACTGTTTTCACTTTATTTGAATTCATTCCATTTAAAGTGTTCGACTAGAGTACCGTTTTTACCGCTCTCTCAATTACTTTTTTCATTGGTACTCTTGAGTACCTCATTTTCAAATGTATCTGTTAGTACTTTTGGTCCTACCAATCTACAGCTCTTCGCTTTCTGGTCATTGGTTATTTTTTGTTTTTGAGTATCATCGCATCTCGTCCCTTTTTGAAAAGGACTCCTTTTAAATGACCGGACAGTGTAAAAACTGCAGTTGCCATCGTCCGGGTTGTCGATATCCCGTTGGAGGCGGCATGTAGTGGGACGAGTGCAAAAGCTGGCACCACGAAGTTTGCACGAACATCACGCCTGCGGCCTTCAAACGGTTCAGTAAGAAGGGTTGCGTATGGCCATCTCACTGGTTGATGCTGCAAAGAAGTGTTTTAGCAAGCGTAGTCGGAACACGTCAAACAGCACTCGATCTGTCGATAAACAAATCGAAATGAAGCAAACTAAGGTTAATTCGATAGTAGATGACTTACGCGGGTCAAAGAAGGAAAAGGAGTCTCCAAAGGGGCCTGCCTTAAACAAAAGCTCAAGGAAAGTAGGTTCTTCTGTTCCCCGTCTCCCAGATGGGATCCCACAGGAAACGCCTAGAAGCCGCAATCGCAAGGCTCAATCGGTTTCAAGAGGTAAACATAACCTGACCTCTCAGGTCGTCGACAACCCTCCAGAATCCGACACTAGGTTTGACGCAACTGTTGTTTCTTCTCCCATAACCGTTGACGAGTGGGTACAGGTTGTAAGGAATAAAAAATGTAGCGATATAAAGGGTAATCCTACCCCTACGACAGCAGTCGTAA